TAGCATTATTCCAATCTGAAAACTCTAGAAAGCAACCAATAAAATAAGTGTTTGGATATAACAAAGTTGCTATTTTATAAATTTCACCAGAGACTACACTAGTGCCCTCATGAAATATAAGGACATCAAATGCATAGATTAGTTTAGGCTACAAGTATAAACAAAGCTGCTTAAAGTTAAATTAGTCTTTAAAAGTTATATATTTTATCACTCTATCAGGTAAGTCAGTCGTGAGAAAAAAAAATTCTTTTAAAAAAATATAGTTTGTATTTTCAGAGAGAGTAGAAGGGAGAAGGAAAGAGAAAAAAACATCTATCCGCTGCCTCCTGCACGCCCCATATAGGGAATGCAGCCCACAACCCGGAAATGTTGTGCCCTTACTGGAAATTGAACAGGCAACCTTTAGGTGCACAGGACAACACTCAACTGAGCTACATTGGCCAAGGCAAAATATGATACTTTTAACAAGAGGAATTTAGGTTTGTTATTTAAAGGACTATTGCATAAAAGAGAAATGTAAAGTATATTCCCAATGTGATTTATTTCTCCCAATTCAAGTCATACAATTAAGAAACAGAGAATGATAGACTTTTAAAAATAAAATTTTCAAAGGCAAATCTGTGATTATTTCAAATGTCTAAATCACTTTCTGTTCCTAATGAATATTATATATTTTTTAAATTAATTGGGGTTTACAGAAAAACTGAGTGGCAAGTACAAAGAGTTCTAATATATTCTCTTCTCACCAGCACCAGGTTCCCCAAATATTAACATCTTGCATTAATCAGCAAGGAATATTTGCTACAACTGATGAGCCCAAACTGATAGCTTATACCAGGGATCACTCTTTGTGTTGTGCATTCTATGGGTTTTGGACAAATTTATAATGACACATATACACCATTACAGTATCATACAGAATAATTTCACTGCTCTAAAAACATTCTATGCTCCCCACCTATTCAGCCCTCCTCCTTGCCCTGTAATACTGCCTTACCCCATAACCAGTGACCATTTTACAGTCTCCTTAGTTTTCCGTCTTTCAGAATGTTATATAGTTGAAATCATAGATAGCCATTTCAGATTGGCTTCTTTCATTTAGCATTTGGGACTCCTCCATATATTTTCATTGTCTAATAGCTAATTTCTTCACATCCTATATAATGAAAGCCTAATATGCTAAGTGTCCAATCATCTGTTTAACCAATCAAAGTGTAATATGCTAATGATATGCTAAGACCGCTCAACCACTTGCTATGACGCGCACTGACCATTAGGGGGCAGGCAGTCGACTGGCCACTATGATGTGCACTGACTACCAGGGGGCAGACACTCTGACTGGTAGGTTAGCTTACTGCTGGGGACCAGCCGATTGAGACTGAGCGAGATGGGCCGGACACGCCCTAGAGCCCTCCCACGGTCCCTCACTGGCTGGCCAACCTCCCAAGTCCCTCGCTGGCCCCGATAATGCATTGGTGGGGTCCCTCGGCCTGGCCTGCGCCCTCTCGAAATCCGGGACCCCTCAGGGGATGTTGGAGAGTCGGTTTCGGCCTGATCCTGCTCAACGTAGGAACTGCCCCCTGGTGGTCAGTGTGCACTCCTCAGGAGGAGTGTCTCTCAGCCAGAAGCCAGGCTCACAGCTGGTGAGTGCTCCCCTGTGGGTATGCACTGAGGGATCCCAGATTACAAGAGGGTGCAGGCTGGGCTGAAGGACCGCCCCCCCCACCCCCCCACCACAACCTGCACCAATTTCATGCACCAGGCCTCTAGTCTCTAAATAATATTCTGTGTGTGGATGTACCAGTTGTTAATCTATTCACCCACAAAAGAACATCTTGGTGTTTCCAAGTTTGGATAATCCTATACAATAAAAGGCTAATATGCAAACTGTCCCCTTGACTGGGAGTTCGACTGGGAGCTCGACCAGCAAACTGCCCACGGCCCCTCCCCCTGGCTGGTCCCGCCCCAGATCGGCCCCCCCACCCTAATCGGGGGTGGGGCCAGCTGGCCAACTGCCTGCAGCCCCTCCCCCAAGCCCCATCCCCTATTGGCCAGCCCACCAACCACCCGCAGACCTGCCCCTCCCCGGCCCGCCCCATCCCTGATCGCCCCCTGACCTGGATAGGGGTGGGGCCAGCCGGCCAACCTCCCGCGTCCCCTCCCCCCGAGTCGGCCCGGCCCGATCGGCCCTGATCAAGGCAGGCTGGCCAGACCCCACCCGTGCACGAATTCGTGCACCAGACCTCTAGTTATGAATAAAGTTGCTACAAATACTTGTGTGCAGGGGGTTGTATGGACGTCATGTCTTCATGCTACCTGAATAATTATAAAGGATGGTAAGAATATGTCTAGTTTTTTAAAAAACTAAAACTGTCTTCCAAAGTGGCTGTACCATTTTGCATTACCACCAACACTGATAGTTACTATTGCTCCACCACTTTATCAGCACTTGCTGTTCTCAGTGTTCTGGATTTTAGCCATTCTAATAGGTATGTGGTGGTATTTCATTGTTTTAAGGGCAATTTATTTTTAAATCCTACAGATTAAACCTATAGATATATCTGCATATATGTATAAAGTATGTAAGTATACATAACTGTATTCTGTACCATTTTAATAGCACAAAATTGAAAATTAACTAAATGTTCATCTTCAGGATATGGTACTTCCATGTAATGAAATATAATGTAAGAAATTCAACAATTTCTGATATACAATAATCTTTAAAATGTATCATTATAGCTTGACTTCACTTCCTAGCACTCTCTTCCTTTCTTACCCCATACTCCAGCCACTATGACCCCTTTATTCTTTCTTCCTCAAATACCCAAGCACACTCCTGCTGCAAGCTTTTATGTTTTTTCTTCTGCTTAGAACACTCTTTCCTCTAGATATCTGCTCTCACTTTATTGTGGTCTCTGGTCTTAAATCATATTAGATAGGCCTTCACTGACTTCCCTATCTAAAACAGTCCCATTTTATATCCTATACTCTCTTGTCCCTTATTCTTTTACTTCACAGCACTACTTCCTGCAATTTTTACTGTTTTATCTATTTTTTTATATGTCTCCCCAACACTACAACTGTCAGCCTCAGTAGAATTTGTTAGCGTTATTCCTTCCAAAAGCCTCAATGCTTAGAACGGTGCTTCCATAATGAGTACTTAAAAATACTTTTTTCGTTTGAAATGTCTGAAAAGCCATGGTTCACAACAGTGTGTATATTATACTATATACACAGGCTATATGTAGAAAATATCTTTAGCAGCATGCTCAAGAAACTGAGAATAGTGGTTGTCTCTAATGAAATGAAGTGGGAAGGTGAGGAGTAGTAATGAGGGAAAGGCCAGAATGTATATACTTACATAGTTTGAATTTTTAACTAAGTTCATTAAGAACACAAAATATTAATTTTAAAAACTAAAGAAAATATATGTCCAAAGAATATCCTAATTTAATTTGCCGCTTCTTTTAATATTTTCTACCTTTAGCAGGTACCTTTATTACCAAAATTTTTAATGCTTTAACTTTTTACTTCATAGGTTTCTTCAATTAACAGGTATGATTTAAAGACGAATGTTATTCATATATATAATATGTCTTTTAAAAATTAGAGATATACTGACATGTTAATAATGACTACTTCTAATTAGACAGCTAAAGAGTCTTTACATTTAAACTTTTACTCCCCACACTAAGCATAAACTACTTCTATAAAAAATACATGAAGAATTGTAAAGATATTCAAGTAAGATTTAAAAGACCATGATTTTGCCTGGCCAATGTGGCTCAGTGATTGAATGTCAACCCATGAACAAGGAGGTCACGGTTTGATTCAGGTCAGGGCACATGCTCAGGTTGCGGGCTCAATCCCCAGTAGGGGGCGTACAGGAAGTGATTATCTCTCATCATTGATGTTTCCATCTCTCTCTCCCTCTCCCTGAAATTAAAAATAAAATAAATAAAAGAGCATTATTTTTAAATCTTTTAAATGTTTAATTTCTATATTCTCTTTCTAGTTTTGTTTCTTCATTTAGAATGTAATTCTTAACACTTGAGAACCCAGCATCTTATAGATGACATATCCTTACAACAATGGTTTTAGGTTTCTTTTAAATTAATAGTGTTTTCCAATGATTACCATTAAATACAGATACATTCCTACAGAAAATTCTCCTTCCATAGAATTGTAGATTGTAAAGCCTGAAGTAACTACAAGCAATTTTGTTTCAGGCATTACACAGATGAAATAAGTAAAGTCTAGAAAGTTCAGTAAATTTTCTAAGGTTATCTAGCTATCTAGTAATGAAAGAAGAGTAAAAAAAGAGATTAGAACGCAGCCCTTTTGCTTTTCCTTATAGCACTCATTCTACTACAATTCAAACCAAGTTAAAAATCTCTGAGAGGAAAAGGAATAAAATGGAGCTAAATGTATAGTATCCTGAGTGATCCTCCATCCAGAAAATCTTCCCATCACTGTTACTTTGTTGCTATTCCTAAGATTATAGAAATTTTTTCCATGTCTGTTAAAAGCAGCAAGGAACCTAGCAATAGACTCCACCTTGGACTCAGCTGTCTACAGGTAGAGAGCATGTATTCCTTGCTGAAAGTCTGAAGCCAATCTAAATATGTAATTGTAGTACTGAAAGTTTTCCATGTTTGTGAGTATATTCACTTAGTAGAAACTATACCAGTTAATGCATGAGTTCTGGAAAGTGAATCAGTTCTATTTCAACTCTGTAAAATAACAGTTTAGAATTATTGACAGTACAGTAAAATAAACTACAAAAAAATAATGTAAGATAAATCTTAATACCATAAAGTAATAACACAGCATGTCATTGGACTCTTGAGTACTATTAAAAAAAATGGTTTTGCTATAGAAGTGTTTCATTTAACAATAAAAATCAACTGATGAGAAAAATGCATTTAGATACATTGTTACCAAGGATTATAAATGGATTCCCCTGTACAATTCTCATGATTTTAAGGAGTACATACCAACAGTTTTTTGTCGTACTATACTCCTCGCCTTTTCAGTTCCTGGGGAACCAGTGGTTGTTGCACTTCTCTGTCTCATTGGGGCTTGGCCAGGCTGATCACGACTCCATCCTCTAGAAAATGACTTGTCAACTGAGACTTTCTGAAATTCATGTCCAACTCCTAGAAATGTAGTTTTGCAATCTTAATATATCTGATCAATAATCTTTTCAGATTATGTGTGCCACCTAACCTCAGATTCTTAGATTTATTCATAATATATATATCTAAGTGACAGTTCGACTGGTAGCTATGACATGCACTGACCACCAGGGGGCGATGCTCCAACCAATAGGTAAGCTTGCTGCTGGGGCCCGGCCAATTGGGACTTGGTGAGAAGGGCTGGACACACTCTGGAGCCCTCCCGAGGCCCCTCCCCAGCTCGCCAACCTCCCACGGTTCTTCCATGGTCAGCCAGCCCCGATCAGCCCAATTGGGACTGGGCTAGACAAGCCAGACACGCCCTGGAGCCCTCCCACGGTCCCTCCCCGGCCCCAATCATGCACCAGTGGGGTCCTTCAGCCTGGCCTGCACCCTCTCGCAATCCAGGACCCCTTAGGGGATGTCAGAGAGCCAGTTTCGGCCTGATCCCTGCAGGCTAGGCCGAGGGACCCCACTGGTGCACAGGCCTCTAGTATATTATAAAGTAACAAGATAAAATGCTTGTGTACTGTAAGGCTTTACTGAACTTATTTTAGGTAGAAATCATATTCTAAAACAGATGCAGAGTTTTTAAAATATGCCATCGACAATAACTATTATAAATTCTCTGCCACCCAATTGACTCATAATAGAAATGAAACATCTGGATAAGCCAAAAGAATAGGAAATGAGCTAACCAAAAACCATCCTGACATGGAAGTTACTAAATATCTACCTGTCAATAATAGTTACTTGGGAAATAGTCCTGGAAAAAGTAGTTTGGTCACATACTTACGATCTAGTGTTAAGTGTGAAATGTGACTCAGATATAATCTCTAGTTAGAAACTATTAAGAATGGAAAGTACTAATAAACCAAGGATCATAAAAACATGTATTAGTGACATAATCACTGTTACTGCCCCTCTATCCCTTTTAAATATTAGGGAGATATGCAGTCCACATGTAGAGTGTTTGCTTTTAGTTAAAAACTAAGAAAATGTTTTCAAAATAATTTTCAAATAATTATTTTTAAGTAGAAAAATATAAAACCATCATCTAACAAAAATTTATGTATGATAAAGGAAGAGTGTTTGATACATTTCAATTTTGGCTAACTATTAAAAATAAAATATTTAAGATTCTGACTTATTTATCTATAACTCTTTATGTACACAACACTTTGTCCCATATCAACATTATTACTGATTTTAAGGTTCTTCAACCTTCAGGATAAATGAAGAAGGAAATAATGAAGAGAAAACATGACTTTTAAACTCAGCTCTCTCCCTGAGGAGACCAAACCATTTTAACAAATTTATATGGAACATCTCTGTGAACAACTCTTACCTTTCCCTTTATGCTTTTTTTGCTTCTGTTCACTCAGCTTATCCAATGGTAAATCACTGAGATCCAAACTATATAAATTTCTAGCTAAAACTTTAGTTAGTGTCTCCATAGTCAGTGACCATTCAGTGGCTAATTCTTCCCAATAGGTCAATGATGACAAAACTGAGAGTAAATCATCCCAAAGTTCTCGGGATATGTACACATTTAGATTTGCTTTGATCCAGGCAACTATAAGAGTCTATAAAGACAAATAATCAGAAATAAAAATGAAACATATTCAAACTCATATATATTCAATTATTTTAAAATTACTTAAAAACAAGTAGAATAATATCCATGACCTTTTCTTGGTACATAGTAATTCATGCAATCATTAGTATCTACTATATATTTCAGTTCAACAATTGCCAACTCTCAACATTCTAGCAATTAAGACAAGGTGCCAAAACTGAAGAGAAATCTCCTTAAAGTTGCTCTTTTACGTTAATATTAAATAAATGCTTTTTATAAAGATACAAAATCTTCCCCATACTATTAACCGTTGAAATTACTGAGTAGTTAATAGTTACTGAACTAAAAAAAAAACCACACTACACCCTCAAATTAAAGCTAGAAATCACTAACTATAAAACTTGAACGTTCTAAAAATAAAAATTAGGGATGTACTTAACTTAGTGAATGTAGTTTTGAAAAATAACATGTAAACTGAAGAATAAAATTAAATTTCATTGTAAAGATACCAGAGGAATTAAGTGTTCTGTAATAAATCCAATCATAGTAAAAAACTTATACTGATACTGCAGATATAACCTATTAAAGAAATAAGTCAAAAAATAGCTTTTTAAAAGCTGAACTCTAAAAATTTTATTAAGAAATTAAGTTTACACATTAAGTGTAAAGATGAAAATGAGCAGAGTTTATAGTACAGAAGAGCCTCTATGCTATCTTTAAATGTTCAGATTACAAAAAAGTTATTCCATATAGCAAGGTAAAATTTTATCTTCCTATAGCTCCCACCATTGGGTTAGTTCTAACAATGGGGAAATTAAAGAGAGAAAGAATAAAGGCTAATGAAGTCAAGAGGAGTTTAGATAATAAATATAGCTGGTTTCAAAGGATTTTTCACTAACAGCATAGAATTTTAGGTAAACTAGCATATTTGAAAATAAATTAATTTGAATGGTTATACTTATGGTCAAGAATTAGATCTCAGATTTTGACATTAAGAACTATTTTTACCCATATATTTGTATTCAGTGTGTCATATTAAGAAAATATTTTGCTTTCTATTTTCCAAAAAAATTCATAATACATTCAAAGTCAGTATTTTATCCTCAGGTTGGAAAACATGATGTATAAATTCCTATAAAATCAAACTACCACTGATACTTCAAATAAAGAAGTGAAGAGAATAACATCTTATGAAACAGCATAAGTAAAAATCTTGATTATTTACTACTTTTCATTACTGTGGAACAATATAAAAGAAAGTTTTGGCTCTCCAACAGGACCCGAGACTTGGAAACTCATAAAGCAAACAATCAGGCTACTACTACTCATGAAGCCCTCCAGCAGCTTTTTGCAATCATACAAGTATGCTACACAAAAGATAAAGTAAATATCATCAGCCTGGGTTAACCCTTTTTTCTCAGACTCAATATTTCCTCCACTTTTATAGTAGATTATGAATTTGTACATATGGCAAATAGCATATTTTAAAAAGCAATTTTTAATTTAGCTTTACAAAAGATACTTTAATATAAAATGATCTCCGATTTAAAGCTCCCCCCCCCCCCCCGTAACAAATACAGAGCTCAGTGAATCTTAAAAAAATACATATCTATCCTTCTATTTAACTATCTATTTATTTATTTTTATTGCCTGAAAAAGTGGTCCTGCAAGTCGACCTGCCAAGGTCATATTTTTTTTCCCCTGGAACTGCAGAAAAGCTTGTGATGGCATCTTCAGTACAGACTCTGTGACTCTGAGCAACACAAGCAGCATCTGTTCCCTTAAAGTAAAAAAATTAATTAGTTTCCTTCTTGCATATGTTTGCTTTTGATTAATGAGTAACTTTCGAATTATTATTTGCTTTAAAAATTGTATTATCTTTAAATAACTCAAATAGCAAATATCTTCCAAAATTTTAGAATTCTGAAATATTAAAATTTTAAATTCTACTTTATAAATCTGTATCATTTTAATTTTTCAGCCACAATACCCTCTCATCAAATAAATATTTATGCAAAAGCTGAAAATTTGGGGTGAAAGTGGTGAGGTTGTTCCCATTCTACACCCCACAAATTAAGTAGTATACTTAAGAAACTGTTTGAAGAACATTCATTCAACTATATAATACAGTTCTACCTTGATCCATCTTTACAATAGGGAGAACCACCACATATCTAGAATTGAAACAGGCTCAATTTAAAAAACTACATGATTTTATTAACCAATGTCATACCAATAAATTCAATTAAAAAAGAAACACTACATGATATTTTAAGATTAATAAATTATTATGAGCCTGACAAGTAATCAAGCACCATCACTCTATTGCCTCTTCCCATCTTTTAAGTTTGGCCATTTAAAAATATATATTTTTATTGATTTCAAAGAGGAAGGGAGAGGAAGAGGGAAAGAGAGATAGAAACACCAATGATGAGAGAGAATCATTGATTGGCTGCCTCCTGCATGCACCACATTGGGGATTGGGCCTGCAACCTGGGCATGTGCCCTGACTGGGAATTGAACCGGGACCTCCTGGTCCATAGGCTGGAGGTCCATAGGTCTACGCTCAACCACTGGGCTGGCCATTTTTTAAACCCTTTATATTCTCGTGTATGCAAACAAGCCATCCTAATAATACCTTTACCTGCCTCTTTCTCCTTGATGTTTATTATTAAGACCACAAAACTACCATATTTGCACCTAATAATTCAACCATACGTGAAAAAGAGGCTGACAAGAGAATTACAGTTGGATGTATAGTGAGGCTAACAGCCTAAGTTCCTATCACAGCCCCTCCTCTTTGGCTTTATTTGCTGGCCCATTTTAGACATAGCAACACATGGAGCAGTCCATGTGAGAAAAAATACAGCAGAAGCAGCAACCGATTCCATATTTAGATGTCATGGTTATTCTGGAAAGTGAGGACAAAATAAAATAGAAAAGTATCACTCAATGAAAAATATCCTGAATTTATTAACAAATGAATGCATGGAATCATTCATAAAATAAAAATCAAAGGTGCCACATTTGTAATCCTAGGCTTCTAGCTTAGCTTTATGAAAAGCTATTTGAAGTAAACTGCATATGCAATAAAGTATAGATTTCCAAATAAATCTTATCTGATTTGTGGTCAAACCTTAACTCACTCATGTATTAGATAACCTTTCACTTTATGATACAAAAATAATGATTTTAATTCATAAAGACTTGTAAACTCAATAAAAATATGTGGGTAATCTTTCATTATGCTTTTACTTAAAGGAATTGATAACATTTATGAAAAGAATTCTAAAATTATGTTCCAATTTTAAAATAAGACTCTCTTTAACCTGGCTCCACAGCACTGATCAAAGCATTTAAAAGGTAAAAAAGGGCAAACTAACAAAATAATTATTCAAAGTATTTTAGTTACTGGAAAATAATAACTAGGGCTCTGAAGTCAGAAGGACCACAGTTCAAAGCTCAGCTGTGTGAACAAGGATAAATTACTCAATCTCTTGTGCCTAAGAATCATAAAAAATAGGTATCATCAACCTCATAGGATGCTATCAGGATTAAGAAAATACATGTAAAATGCTTGAAAAAATACCTGGCACAAAAAAGTGCTCTAAATAAGTTAATAACTACTTATAAATACAATTACATTAATACTTTTAATAAAGATTTTTTCAAAATAAAGCCATTTTTCCATACAGCAAAATGTAAATTAAGCATGTTCTTTGAATAAGAACTTCCATTCTTTAAGAATGAGTCAAGGAGAAAAATTATATGTATAAGGATGTTGACCGTCCTCCCCTCCTCCAACAACAAAATGAAATAACTACATATCCATCAATAGGTGACTGGTTACGAAAATTATGGTACACATATATGGCATAATACTATGTAACTGTGTGTGTGGTTTGGTGAGAGAACTTTTGGCCATCTTTTATTTTCTTTTTCAAACTTTTCTTTGAATTTCATAATGAACATGTGCCATTTTTATAAAAACGGAAGAACAGCTCTTCTCATCTCCCCCAAAGGCCTATTTTTTTCCATTCAATTAAACAAATCTTTATAGAGTACCAATACTAGCTAAGGTACTATACTAAGAAATGTAGGAAATATAGAAACAAAACAACCAGTAATATACCTTTTAGGGCCTCTCAATTCAGTGAGATAAACAGCAATTTATACAAGTAATTTAGGGATTAAGACAATTTGACAACTATAACAGAGGTACAAATACAGAATTAAAGGAAGAAAGGAAAAAAGTACAAGGATATGTGGAAAAATGAAGCTGAAACTAAGGACAGTTAATGATAACAAAAAAAATGGCAGGAATTAGACATTGTAAAGCAAAGTTCAGATGTGCTCAGGAAATTTGATAAAGCTGGAGGCAGAATCCCACCCTGCAAGACATTTAGGTTTGAGAAAGGGCTGGAAAGTAAGTAAGGGCCTGACTGTACATGGCCTTAAGTGCTAGGTTGAGGAATCAGGCATTCATACATTCCATATTTACTTATTCATTCATTCACACATGCATACATGCATTCAATCCTGGGGACACAGGAGGTTATCATATGCTCATTTTAGAAAAATAAGCCACGGGGCTTTTGGAAGTTTGAACAAAGATGTTGAGATAGCCCGTCTAGTGTGGCTCAGTGATTGAGTGTCAACCCATGAACCAGGAGGTCGCAGTTTTATTTCCAGTCAGGGCACATGCACAGGTTGTGGGCTTGATTTCTAGTAGGAGGCGTGCAGGAGGCAGCGAATCAATTATTCTCTTTCATCATTGATGTTTCTATCTCTTTGTCCCTTTCCCTTTCTCTCTCTGAAATCAATAAAAACATTTTTTTTAAGATTTTCTTTTTTTTTTTAAATATATATTTTATTGATTTTTTACAGAGAGGAAGGGAGAGGAATAGAGAGTTAGAAACATCCATGAGAGAGAAACATGGATCAGCTGCCTCCTGCACACCCCACACTGGGGATGTGCCCGCAACCAAGGTATATGCCCTTGACCGGAATTGAACCTGGGACCCTTTAGTCCGCAGACTGACGCTCTATCCACTGAGCCAAACTGGTTAGGGCTAAGATTTTCTTAAAAAGATGTTGAGATAAAGTGAAGGAGACTATTGTTGTCATCATAATTATATAAAATGTTATATTCATTTATTCAATAATGGAAGCCTATAAAACATTGTAACAAGCCCTGTTCACAGACACTGTTCTCTAAAAATTACTATACCCATACACACAATATAAAAAACATAAAGAATAAAGATTTTTACCAAGTCTTTTTGTCCATTGATACTTGCACAACCATGAACCGATAAATGTTAAGAATACGTTTACACATATCTGTGTGCTCATCCAGAAGACTTTTTATTTCATTTGCAGGTTCAAGAAGAAATATATTTGATGAGTTTATAATAAACACCTAAGACAAAAGAAATCATTAGCCATTCATTATAGAATTTCAATGACAAATTTCTTATTCAAAGAAAAAAAAAAACCTTAGATGCTAATAAATTTAATAATAATAAATTTAAAAGCATAAGACGATAGATTAACCCTACACAATAAAGAGGTAATATGCAAATTGACTGTCACACCCTCTCACAAGATGGCCGCCACCATGTGGTCACAAGATGGCCAGCAGGGGAGGGCAGTTGTGAACGAGCAGGCTAGCAGGGGAGGGCAGTTAGGGGGGACTGGGCCTGCAGGGGAGGGCAGTTAGGGAGGGACCAGGCCTGCAGGGGAGGGCAGTTAGGGAGGGACCAGGCCTGCAGGGGAGGGCAGTTAGGGGTGACTGGGCTGGCAGGGGAAAGCAGTTGGGGGCGACCAGGCCTGCAGGGGAGGGCAGTTAGTGGGGGACCAGGCCTGCAGGGGAGGGCAGTTAGGGGTGACTGGGCTGGCAGGGGAAAGCAGTTGGGGGGGACCAGGCCTGCAGGGGAGGGCAATTAAAGGCGACTGGGCTGGCAGGGGAGGACAGTTGGAGGAAATCGGGCTGGCAGGGGAGCAGTTAGGCGTCAATCAGGCTGGCAGAGGAGTGGTTAGGGGGCGATCAGGCTGGCAGGCAGAAGCGGTTAGGGGCAATCAGGCAGGCAAGCAGTTGGGAGCCAGCAGTCCTGGATTGTGAGAGGGATGTCCCAGATTGGAAAGGGTGCAGGCTGGGCTGAGGGACATGCCCCCTCAGTGCACAAATTTCGTGCACCGGGCCTCTAGTTACATATAATTCTACTTCTACCACAAGCTTGATACCCTTAAATATTAAATCTGTGTATTTTATGTTTATCTAGACAAATTTTAAATTACTATTAGGCATGCCCCAAGTAAGTAAAAAACAGCATTTTTTAAAACTGAGAGCTTTCACATAATAATGCTATTGCTGTCATAAAATGAAAGGAACAATAAAAAAATACAAATAGTTTAGAATAAAAATGATACCCAAATCAAGAGTTTTCTGAATGAGGTGTTCAAAACCATCTTTCCTCTTTTTACATTGGCAATGTCTGTACATCTCTTTTGATAATAAACAGACTGTATAAACAGACTATATATTATAGTACTACTAATTAGGATCCATCAATATGTATCTTCAATTAAATTCATTACAATCAAATCATTAATTATACTTTGTTATTGAGGACAAAATTATAATGGTAACAGGCATGTGGCAAAGGCACTCAAGGACACTTTGCAAAAGAGAACATTGCATCCACTATAAACCTAGGATATTTACATCTTTTACATTCATAATTCTGATTTAAATCCCCTGGATGAATTATAAAACAAAATACGTTGTAAAATCATGTGAGAAAAGTACATTAAGCTAACTTTAAAATAGTTAAAATAGAAAAAAGTTGACTGTAAGCTTAGCAACACTGACCAAGAAATGCAAGAGAGATACAAATAAACATTAGAAATAAAATAAGGATACAACTATATATCCAGAAGAGAATTTTAAAATGATGATAGTTCACTGGATAACTTTATGCTAATAATTGAAAATTTAATGCTTTTTAAAAATATATTTTGACTGATTTTTAGAGAGAGACAAAGGAAGATGGAGAGAGAGAGAAACATTGATGTTAGGGAGAAACATCAATCAGTTGCCTCCTGAACCCCAACGGGGGATCAAACCCACAACCTGGGTATGTTTCCTGACTAGGGATCAAACTAGTGACTTTAGGTGCATGGGACAACACTCAACTAACTGAGCCACACTGGCCAGGGCAAAATAAATTATTTTGTAGGCAAACATAAATTGCCAAAAGTGACTCAGGAAGAAATAGAAAAGATGTATGCATTGAAACCATGAATGAAAGTGAACTGGTAATCAAGATCTCCCTGACCCATCTCTGAACACCAGGCCTGGAAAGCTTTACAGGTAAAGTTTCGCCTAACCTTCATGAAAGATGAGCCCTATTTTACACAAGCTGTTTGAGAGACAAGGATGAAGAAAAACCACCCAACTTATTTTTATAAAACTATAATCTTATTACCCAAAACAAAAAAAGACTATATAAGGAAAGTAAATAAAAGACCAATATCACTTATGAACATATGACTGAAAAAAAATAGTAGCAATTCAAATTGAGCAAAATATAATACTTTATGACCAACTAGTATTTACCCCAGAAATGATAGGATGTCTTGACATCAGAAAAGCCTGTTAATATAATATACTCTATCAATAGATTTAAATGGCAAAAAAGTATGATCATCATAATGTATTCAGAAAAACCATTCAGCATTTATTATTAAAATAAAATACTTTATTTTAGCAAACTAGGAAAAAATGTATAATTCCTTAATTTGAAAAAGAGTACTTATCAAAAATATAACAAATGCTATAACAGCAACTGAACCTGAGAAATACTGCCAAAAGCCAAAAACAAGACAAGGGTACTCACTATCATCTCATTGTCCTCAATGATGCCACTCATTCAAAAGAAAGTGGTGGAGCGGGAAGCAGAGAATGAATATAAATATGAATAAATTGAAAAGGAAAAGACAAAACTGAACTCTGTAGCAATCTGGGAGAAAAGCTTTCCAGACAAAAGAAGATGCAGATATAAGGTAACTGAGGTGACTGCCTGTGCAGCACATATGAGAAACAGCAAGGAGTATAGAATGAGGTGAGGAAGGAGAAAAGGGAAATACATCAAGAAACAGAGACAGAGCATGTGAAGCATAGATTCTCACACTACTAGTGGTAAAAGAACAAGTTTCTTCCACCAATCTTTAGCAGAAAGTTTCTATTATAAATATGATTTAAAAAAAATAGGAAAAAGGAAATGCAAAAAGACATACAAACTCAAACTTTCATTATATTCAATGACTCAGTTTATAAACTTACTCCCAATTTTACGATTATGTTGTGGGCCAGCACTAGTCAGTCTATGGATTACACTCTGAGGAACAATCTACACTAATAAAAGACAAAGATGCTAATTGACCATACCTTTGCTACGCCCACCAGCCAATCAGAGCGATATGCAAATTAACCCAACAAAGATGGTGGTTAATTTGCATATACCGGCTGGGAGCGAAGACTGAAGACAACTAGAAGGAAGCCAAGCGCTGCAGAAGGGAGCAAAGTAGAGGCGGCAGAGACAGGAACAGAGCCGAGGTGGTGGAGGCGGGAGCGGAGCCGGGGTGTGGCGGGCGGTGGGGGGCGGGGGGCGGGAGACAGCGACGGGTGGTGGGAGGTGGTGGCAGGCGAGAGGCGGCAGGCAACGGGAGGCGGCGGCGGGAGGCGGGAGGCGGCGGGAGGCGGGAGGCGGCGGGAGATGGGAGGAAGCCAAGGCAGCAGAGGCGGGAGCAAAGCCCTATTCTTGCAGGAATCTTCCTGCAACAGGCCTCTAGTCCTTTATAATCCTATGTAATAAAAGCCTAATATGCTAAGTGTCCAGTCACCCGTTCAATCAATCAAAGCATGATATGCTAATGATATGCTAAGGTCGCTCAACTGCTTGCTATGATGTGCACTGACCACCAGGGGCAGATGCTCTGACTGGTAGGTTAGCTTGCTGCTGGGGTCCGGCCAATCAGGACTGAGCTAGACGGGCTGAACACGCCCTGGAGCCCTCCCACGATCCCTCCCCAGCTGGCCAACCTCCTGAGTCCCTTGCTGGCCCTGATTGTGCACTGGTGGGGTCCCTCAGCCTGGTCTGCACCCTCTCGCAATCTGGGACCCCTTGGGGGATGTCAGAGAGCCGGTTTCGGCGCAATCCTGCAGGCCAGGCTGAGGGACCCTACTGGTGCACGAATTCATGCACTGGGCCTCTAGTGATGTAAATAAAACCTTACAGACCATTAGAAAGGCTTTTGCTTTTATGATTAATGATAAACTTACTAGAAAGTTTTAAGCAGAAAAATGACATGGTCTGACTTTTTTTAATAGGATCATTCTGGCTATTATTACCAGGGTGATGGGTGGGCAAAAGTGGAAGCAAAAATACTAATTAGGAGTTTATTGCAGCCTGGCCAGCATGGCTCAGTGGCTGAGCATCAATCTATGAACCAGGAGGTCACAGTTCAATTTCTGGTAAGGCACATGTCCAGGTTTCAGGCTTGATCCCCAATGGGGGGCGTGCAGGAGGCAGCAATTTATGATTCACTCTCATCATTGATGTTTCTATATCTTTCACCCTCTCCCTTCCTCTCTCTGAAATCAATAAAGACATATTTTTTTCAAAAAGGAGTTTACCGCAATAATCCAGATGAAAGATTATGGAGGCCTGGACACAAAAGGTAATGTGAGTGCTCAATCCTAGTTCCAATACATTAGGAAAACTGACAGAATTTGTTGTCAAATTGGATGTAAGATATAAAAGAAAGATAGGAAACAAGATGGGCTGATAAAGGTGGTCGGCAAATTTATTACATTTAAAAAATTATACTCTACATTGAAATACTGAACTATGTTCAAAATATTTAATGATTATGTTATTTTTAAAAAACAATCAAAAAGTGATCCACCTGCAAAACTGCCTGGGTACCAGCTCGTATGTTTTGTTCTGTGGCTTCTTCAGAGGCATTATGAAGAACATCTTGGTAAGTGCCATTTTTTGCCCAAGTGGAATTTCGAACATGATCAGCAATATTGGTCCCATTTTCCTGAAGCAAAATACCAAGTTTTTAATATGTCATTAATTAAGAATGCTATGACAAATCAGTAAGTTGAAGTAACTGGAAATTATTGGATACCACTGCCAAGCATCTTCTCAAAACAGAAGATGTTTTATTTGATTACAAAAGCTGTTTGTTCACCAGAGATTACTGTATCATTTCAGATATAGAGACATTTTCCTATGTACTGAATGAATAAACCTCCACTCTGTATACTTACACATTTACACAGCCTTGAAAGAGATGAATTTCGTTCCAAAGTAAATGCCTTAATCTAAAAAACTTAAATAAAATAGAAAATTGCTTCTATTTATCCTACTTAAGATTAGTAAAATTCCCGTTATCTGTAGAAAAATTCTGATACTTGAAACCACTAAACTTGCAGCTTTCTGCTTGAGTTTTAGCTGTCAAAATCTTACTAGAGATTTCCCTTATCTGTGAAAAGCCACACAAACAGAAATTTCACTCAACGTTGTTCCCTTTCTTAAAGTTACTCTCTAGTTTCTTTCAGCTTTTGGTCACTCACCAGTATCTTCAAATAGTTTGTTTTTTTAAAAATATTTTTTTCTAGAGCTTATTATTATAAAAGGCAGGTGGTTTCATCTAATACTTTGCCATTGCCAGGAGCAGCACTGAACTCAGCACTGAGGAGCCAAAACAATACCTTTCGCATTAAGCTCCAGATACCATCTAAATAGCTCTTCCTGAATGATCCACAAGCACCTCAAATTAAAAATGTTTAAAAGGAAGTTTATTAACTAAGTCTCCCCCATCCCCACCCCCCCACCCGCCGCCGCCCCAACTTCCTACCAACAACCTCTCTAGCCTCCTTGGCCACCACCACCAAACTTGCATTTTTAAAATTCCTATTCAAGAGTGAATGGCAACTACCCAAAGAAAGAAACTTGGGACACCTCCCCATTTCTCATTTCTCTCAGCGAATTTAATCATCAAGGTATATTGATTTCACCACCAAAGTAGCTCATATATCAGTCTTTTTCCTTATATTCCCATTGCAACTGCCACTGTCCTATCTCTTTCAGGTACTTAGCATCTCCCTTCTGAACTTGGCTAATATTTCCTAACTAGTTTCTTGCCTCCAGATTGGCCTCCAATCTATCTTCCACCTGAGACTTGGTATAATACTCCTGAAATATGTAACTACTCATGCATTCTTCTATTTATAATCCTTTGAAGGCTTTCCAGTGTCTAGAACAGTGATGGCGAACCTTTTGAGCTCAGCGTGTTAGCATTCTGAAAAACCCTAACTTAACTCTGGTGCCGTGTCACATATAGAAATATTTTGATATTTGCAACCATAGTAAAACAAAGACTTATATTTTTGATATTTATTTTATATATTTAAATGCCATTTAACAAAGAAAAATCAACCAAAAAAGTGAGTTTACGTGTCACCTCTGACACGCGTGTCATAGGTTCGCCATCACTGGTCTAGAATGTAATCAAAGCCAATTACAATGGTATACCTGTCACTGAACAGAGTCTAGTTCTTGCCTATCTCATATTTCCTATCATTCTCCCCCATCTGCTCTTAGCTACAGCCAATTGAAAAATATTTTAAGGTCTCTCACATTTTTGTAGATTCTCTTCACACTATGCAGTTCCTTTCCCATTTGTTACCTGCTCTTTACATCACGCTACCTCCTCCATGAAGCCTTCCCTAAACTGTTAGATATTACCTCTTTCACACACTAGATCACAGAAATAATATTGTTTTATACTATTTATTTTGTATATTTGTCTTCCTGCTAAATCATAAGTTATGTGAAGATAGAAATGATGTTTTTTCAGGCTTGTATCTCCAAAACTTTCTCAATTGGCATGTTTTATAGAACACTTTGAAATTTGTGGGAGTGTTTTGTTGTCACAAGAAATGAGAAGACCAGAGATTTTTAATAAACTGATCTACGGAATGCTAAACATACTATAAGGTACCCGAGAATCTGCACATAAACAAACTATCCTGTATCCAACATGTCTTACTGATATTATAAAATATACTGTTATCTTTACATTCCCATTTAGTAAATATATGTGTGTTAACATCACACTTTTTAAAAATCTAATCTATTAAATGAATAATAAAGTATGTAAGTCTTATCATTTTACCTCTTCTCTCTTTTCTCCTTCTTCCATTGAAATATCATGGTCTGCAACACTGTCAATGCAAGGTAAGTCAGAAGAGGAAGTCACAATTTCTTCAGGCTCTTGCATGAACAAAGGTTTTTCCTCTTGCTGAATCCATTCTTGATATACTTTTACCACTTTCCTCATTGCTGCTGCTTCACAAATTGGTAATAAAAATGCCTAGTGAAAAAAAAAAAGAAATGATACTTTTTAGATGCCTTTTACTTTGTCAAAAACCACTAATACATACCTTTCTATCCTGTTATAAAATGAGATATAGACCATTTAAAAATATATATGTTTTACTGATTTTAGAGAGAGAGGAAGGGAGAGGAAGAGAGATAATGATGTCAACCCATAAACGAAGAGGTCACCAGTGTGATTCCTGGTTAGGGCACATGCCCCGGTTATGGACTCAATCCCCAGTATACAGGAGGTAGTCAATCGATGATGTTTCTCTCTCATTGATGTTTCTCTCTATATATTCTTCTCCTTTCCTCTCTCTAAAAATCAATAAAAATATATTTAAAAACAAGATTTTAATTGAAACAAAACAAAATCTAACTCTGAGAATAAAAATCACATGAAACAAGTCAACTGAGATTTTCTAAGCATATAAAGAAAAAAAAGTTACAACTTTATTTTTTTTTACATATAACAATTTATTTAAATTAAATAATAAGGCAATAATACTTAGAAAATTAAAAGAAATACTTTACAGTTATTCTTTTCTTTAGGTACTTTCCCGGTTGCCTTAACTTTTTAAAAAGGAAATATGTCCTTGTCACTCACAAGAATACCACATTTTCATATCAAAATAAATTTTTTTTAAATCCTCACCCGAGGATATGTTTCCCATTAATTTTAAGAGATCATGGAAAGGAGAGGGAGAGACGGAAAGAAACACCGATGTGAGAGACACACATTGATTGGTTGCCTCCCGCATGCCCCTGAGCAGGGGAAGGAGCCTGCAGCCGAGGTATGTGCCCTTGACCAGAATTGAACCTGGGAGTCTTCAGTCTGATGCTCTATCCACTGAGCAAAATTTCAAAAGAAATTTTTTATACAATTCAGGCAACAAAAGTAAGACAGTAAAAATACTCTTAACCTAATTATATAAAAAGGGTTGAAAATACTTAAAAAAAAAGACATGAGGCTAATTCTAATAAAAAGAAAGCAATATAAATGTACTAATAGTAGATAAAATAGATGTTAACATTTGGAGTGCGGGTGAATTTCCCGCCAAAATATAAGATGGCTCTGTCTTTTGGTTTCACTGAGCAAAATTTCAAAAGAAATTTTTTATACAATTCAGGCAACAAAAGTAAGACAGTAAGTTTACACGTTTCCCGCACTCCACCGCAAATCTATATGAACCGAGTTAAAGACGGCTCCCGCGGTCTAATAAAAAGAAAGCAATATAAATGTACTAATAGTAGATAAAATAGATGTTAAGCAAAAATAACTTCTACAGATGACAAAGGCCATAAATAAAAGGTTTAATTCACCAAGATCTATATATATAAAAGGCCAGCGACCAAAATGGCAGAACGACCAGAATGACCGGTGGCTATGATGGGCACTGCAGCAGCCAACCAGCCTGTTCTGAGCCCTGGTCAGCTCTCCCACCCCACCGGGCCTGGCCCCCGATAGTCCCCCAACATCCCAACTGGGAGCAGGGCCGACCAGCCAACTGCCCAACGGCCCCTCCCCCTGACTGGCCCTGCCCCAGATAGGCACCCCACCCCAATCAGGGGCGAGGCCGGTTGGCCAACTGCCTGTGGCTCCTCCCCCCCCACTGACCTGGCCCAATGGGCCCCCATCGGGGCAGGCTGGCCAGACCCCACCCATGCACAAATTCGTGCACAGGGTCTCTAGTATGATTACAAACATGCCTGTTATTTAATTACACAGGTTCAAATTATATATATATATATATATATATATATATATATATATATATAAAAAAATCTATGAGCCCTAGCCAGTTTGGCTCAGTGGATAGAGCGTCACCCTGCGAACTGAAGGGTCCTGGGTTTGATTCCGGTCAAGGGCAAATGCCTGGGTTTCGGGCTCTATCCTCAGTAGGGTGCATGCAGGAGGCAGCCAAATAATGCTTCTCTGTCATCATCGATGTTTCTCTCTCTCCCTATCCCTTCCTCTCTGAAATCAATAAAATATACATTTAAAAAAATACATGAAACTATAAAGGAAAACATAGGCAAATCACCATCAGAGTAGATTTTAACACACCCCTCTCTATAACTTTATGTCAAACTGACAAAATATCTTAAGTGTGGACATAGAAAAGTTAACAAACACAATAAGGTTGATTTAAGACACTTTAATAATTACTGAACTCAAAATAATACATTATTTTCAAGCACATAGGATATTTATGAGAATTGACTACATATTGAACTATACATTTTAATAAACTTTAAGTAATTAGTACTATAAGGACTATATTCTCTGACCAAAAAAACTGTTAGAAAAAAGAAAACTGGAATTATATAAAATGTTTGAAAGATACACATTGATAAGTGACTCATAGGACAAAGAAGGTATTAACATGAAAATTAAAAAATATTTAGAAGTAAACAATAACATCAAAATTAGTAGACTATAGCTATAACATTATTAAGAGGTAATATCATAGCCTCAAAAATGCTTATATGAAAAAAAATGTGAGGCTAAGATTAATTAGCTAAAAAAAAAAAAAAACCCACCAAAATAAAATCAAGAAAAGGAGAAAGAAAAAAGCAAAAATTAATAAGAGAAAAACAAACATAAAATGGAGAAAATTTTAAAAGCAAAAGTTAAGCCCTAACCGGTTTGGCTCAGTGGATAGAGCGTCAGCCTGCGGACTCAAGGGTCCCAGGTTCAATTCCGGTCAAGGGCATGTACCTTGGTTGCGGGCACATCCCCAGTGGGAGATGTGCAGGAGGCGGCTGATCGATGTTTCTAACTCTCTATCCCTCTCCCTTCCTCGCTGTAAAAAAAAAAATCAATAAAATATATTTTTTAAAAAATAAAATAAAAGCAAAAGTTAATTCTTTGAAAAGACTAATGAGAGTGAGGGAGTGTGAGTGAGTGAGGGAGCGAAAGGGGAGTACGTATGTAGTATATGTGTGTGTGAGTGAGGGACAGTTATATCCTGCAGGACTCTCAGGGGCTGGCAGACTGGGCTCTCCTAGATGGGAAGACCCTGCCTCCGCTGCGAGCACTCCTAGAGCAACCAGCTCTGGCACAGAAACCACACCATCTCGAAGGGGAGAGCTGCTGTGACTAGGAGCCCAGCCTCACCACCACCCAAACTGGCCTCAGACACCATCCTGGACCCTCTAGCCCAGTGATGGTGAACCTTTTGAGCTCGGCGTGTCAGCATTTTGAAAAACCCTAACTTAACTCTGGTGCCGTGTCACATATAGAAATTTTTTGATATTTGCAACCATAGTAAAACAAAGACTTATATTTTTGATATTTATTTTATATATTTAAATGCCATTTAACAAAGAAAAATCAACCAAAAAAATGAGTTCGCGTGTCATAGGTTCGCCATCACTGCTCTAGCCACTCTGACCAAAGACCTGCCACCTCATCTGCAGACCCACAGACTCCGAGACTGCAGCCTCCCCGGCCATAGGCTCCTGTGAGCCTAGAGTGCGCTCCCCTCCCGCGAAGCCTGATGTTTCAGACAGAGGCCCCATGCAACTTGGCACCTGGAACATTCAGTGAGTCCCAGAGTACATGACCCCTCCCTTCCCCTCCAACCCCGCTGCTTCAGCCTTAGGACCAAGAGAACTCGGCTCCTGCACCCCTTGGTGAGACTTGGAGTACGCACCCCTCCCGCCAAGCCCGTTGCAGGACCTGTGCTACTGGGCACTTGGGCCCCTTGGTGAGAGAGTGCACACCTCTACCACCAAGCACACTGCGGGCTCCGCAACCCAGCACAGTCAGGGCCTTTGGGCAGTGTAGGCACCGACCCAGACACAGATAGAGCTTTCACCTGGTACACGCCCTACCCCCAGCCCAAGTCAGAGCTGCTAGTGCAACCTGGTGTGCCCAGCCACAGGTCATAGTATCACGCTGCATGTACGCTGCCAGAGGGACCTAGGGCACCATTCTGCCTTGGGTGCTGGTGTCGCACAGTGAATTGCATGCTAGAGGACTCTGGGCCCTCACAGGGAGTCACACACCAGAGAAATGTGCATGTGCCCCATTGACCCCGTGAATCTGAGGTGGATAACTGAGGGTCCAGGACTAGGGGAGAAGGGGGTATAACTCAGAGCAGAGACAATAAAGGTGTGAAACTCAAGGCAGACCCAGTCTCCGGTCTATTGAGTCCCAGATCATTGAACCACTAGGGCAGGGGTCCTCAAACTTTTTAAACAGGGGGCCAGTTCACTGTCCCTCAGACCGTTGGAGGGCCGGACTATAGTTTAAAAAAAAACTATGAACAAATTCCTATGCACACTGCACATATCTTATTTTGAAGTAAAAAAACAAAACGGGAACAAATACAATATTTGTATTTGCATGTGGCCCGCGGGCCATAGTTTGAAGACCCCTGCACTAGGGTCTTCAACACCTGAGACCATAAGCAAGGAGCCCAGGGGCAGAAAGAGACAGCAAAAAAAGGGGAGACAAAGAAACAACCTCCAAAGGAAAGAAAAGGAGGAAGCGCCAGGAAAGGAACTAAATGAGATGGAGGCATGCAATATGTCAGAAAAAAATTCAGCCTAAGGGTCACACAGTTCATAAACCAGATGGATAAGAAAATCACCAACTTATGTAAGGTGCATAAGGAAATGAAGAATGATATATCTACAATAAAAAACACCATGGAAGGTTTCAAAAGTAGACTGAAGAAGTGGAGGACCGAATTAGCGAATTAGAAGACTGGGCAGTAAAACACACCCAATATGAACAGCAATTGGAGAAAAAAAATTAGAAAGCAGGAGGAGAGCTTCAGGTAGCTTTGGGACAACATGAAACAAAGTAACATCTGTATAATAGGGGTACCAGAAGGACAACAAGAGGAGCAAGGATTAGAAAACCTATTTGAAGAAATAATTACAGAAAATTTCCCTGATTTTGGCAGGGGGGTGGGGGGGAAGTCACACAAGCACAGAGACTAACAAGATGAATCCAAAAAGACCCACACCAAGACACGTAAT